AAGTCCTCTAAAACTATTCCTCACTATTGGAAAGGCACTCAAAAGGAATCTGAAGAACCTATCAGAACCTTAAAGAATGTCCTAAAATGCTTCTGTTATTTCAGGTGCATTCTAGGAAGTGGCAACAGATTGGTCATAAAAATACCCTGGATAGAGAATAGTAGGCAAGTTTGAGACAGGTAAACTCAGCCAGGAAGGACATTTCTGGTGCTCTCAGGTACCATCTGGTCATTGCGACTACGGAGTGAAAAGTAAAATTTTTAATATCGGGGTGCCTAGGTGGCTCAGTTAGCTGAGTGTCCAACTTCAGCTCAGATCATGATCTTACGGTTCAGTTCATGAGTTTAAGCCCTACATCGGGGCTTGTTGCTGTCAGTGCAGAGCCTGCTTTGGATCCTCTATCCCCCTCTCTCTCTGTGCCTCCTCCAACTCATAACGCTCTCTCAAAAATAAATAAAACATTAAAAATAATAATATCTATATATGAGGCAAAATTTAAAAGATACAAGTGCAGAGGGGCACGTAGGTGGCTCAGTCAGTTAAGCATCCAACTCTTGATCTTGGCTCAGGTCATGATCTCACAGTTCTTTTTTTTTTTTTTAAATCTTTTTTTTCAACGTTTGTTTATTTTTGGGACAGAGAGAGACAGAGCATGAACGGGGGAAGGGCAGAGAGAGAGGGAGACACAGAATCGGAAACAGGCTCCAGGCTCTGAGCCATCAGCCCAGACTCTGACGCGGGGCTCGAACTCACGGACCGCGAGATCGTGACCTGGCTGAAGTCGGACGCTTAACCGACTGCGCCACCCAGGCGCCCCACGATCTCACAGTTCTTGAGTTCAAGCCCCACATCAGGCTCTGTGCTGATATCGTGAAGCCTGGTTGGGATTCTGTCTCTCCTTCTTTCTGCCCCTCCCCCACTTCTTCTCGCTTGCTCTCTCTCTCTCTCTCTCTCACTTAAAAACCAAGATACGGGGCGCCTGGGTGGCGCAGTCGGTTAAGCGTCCGACTTCAGCCAGGTCACGATCTCGTGGTCCGTGGGTTCGGGCCCCGCGTCGGGCTCTGGGCTGATGGCTCAGAGCCTGGAGCCTGTTTCCGATTCTGTGTCTCCCTCTCTCTCTGCCCCTCCCCCGTTCATGCTCTGTCTCTCTCTGTCCCCCAAAAAATAAATAAACGTTGAAAAAAAAATTAAAAAAAAAAAAACCAAGATACAAGTGGGTATTCAATGAAAAGTGAGTTTCTCTCTCACTTCTGTTCCCAGTCATCCTATTGTCTTCCCCAGAGGCAACCACTGTTACCACTTTTCTAAGTATCCTTCCGGAAACTGTCTACACATTTAAAAAGAACATACATATTCTGCACTGTGCCTTCTTCACTTAGATAGGTCTCCACTTAGTACACATACCTTATTCTTTTTAACTGCTTCGTAAGTATTCATAATATGGATGTACTGTAACTTCCTAGCCCCGGAATGGATTTTTATTATCACGATGTCTAAAGCAGAGATAAAACGTTAGCAACCCATGGGTAGTATCTACCCATGGATGTGTTTTTTTCAGCCATCACAATGGTTTGAACACGTGGATCTCAATGTATTTGACCATACGGGATGTGGTGGAAAGAGCTGTCCACCAACATCCACTCTCCTCTTTTATAGTAAGAGGGATGTCAACGGGAAATGGCTACCCTACCAGGAGCTACACTGCCCAGCTGCCTGCAGCCAGCTATCTCCACGGGACTAGCTTTCCCCAGTTAAAAGTTGAGTGGAAGTGATGAAGGTTTCTGGTCTGCAGCTTTAAAGGGATGGCTATGGGGGCACCTGGGTGGCGCAGTCGGTTAAGCGTCCGACTTCAGCCAGGTCACGATCTCGCGCTCCGTGAGTTCGAGCCCCGCGTCAGGCTCTGGGCTGATGGCTCAGAGCCTGGAGCCTGTTTCCGATTCTGTGTCTCCCTCTCTCTCTGCCCCTCGCCCGTTCATGCTCTGTCTCTCTCTGTCCCAAAAATAAATAAACGTTGAAAAAATAAATAAATAAATAAATAAATAAATAAATAAATAAATAAATAAATAAAAATAAAGGGATGGCTATGTTTCCTCCACACAGTCCCTGCCCCTCCTGCCAGGCTGACTGACGCCCAATGACTGGAAGAGGGCTCTCCGTGGCCTGAAGGGGGTTCACCAGCAGCGTCCTCTGGTTGCAAGCTTTAGGCATGGCTTTGGAGCAGGTCACCGTTGAGAGTGGAATGAGGGTAGTGGAACAAAAGATAACCCTGTTATGAAAAATATTTGCTTCATGAAAACAACTGTTTCGATGAGAAACAGGAGGTTAGGTTCTAAAAAGTACTACTTTCGCAGTGTGGTTTTTCTTACAGGAATTTCAGTAATAAAATGTTTTGTGGCTATAAGCATAGAACTATAAAATCTAAACATCACTGAACAAGTCCCAGGTTTGACTACATCTAGGTTTTGTACACTTGCATCACCACAGAGACTTTCTTACACGTTTTTATTTTCTCTCAAACACAGCAGCTGTTCAAGCCTTGAGAGGATGGCTCCGCAACCTGGATCAGCTATTACAAAGGTGATCTGATCTCTCTTTTACACACGGCATTCGTGTCATACCAATGCCTGCCTATGAAAGCATACACCTTTAGGTCTAATACCAGCACCTACCTATCTAGAGCCCTGGGAGAATCTAGACTCCTGTGAATATAAATTGAGACTGTTTTACAGGTATCAAAGTAAAGCCAATTGCCCCTGACTGCCAAGTGGCCTCCTTCATTTTTATAGATTTACATTCTATACCAGCCCTTTGCAGGGCACCTGGCTGGCTCAGTCGGTAGAGCATGCGACTCTTGATCTCCAGGTTGTGAGTGCGAACCCGATGTTGGGTGTAGAGATTACTTTAAAAAAATAAAATATTCAAATCAGCCCTTTGTTATCCTTCCCCATATCATGTTACCTATCTGCATAAATGTGAAGGCATTAATGCCACCCTCTTCTAAGCTCTTCCCTTAAATCCCACCCAAATCCGACACCGAGTCTGTGGGCTCTCCTCCCTTTGGTAGCTACAGTCTTTTATTCTATATCCTTCTCCTCCCTTTATATAAACATCAGCCCTCCTATGTAACAACCACCTCATCACTTTCTTCACTTCCCTCTTTCATTCCTGCTTCTTGGCATCATCTCTCCATCCTGTTTCTTCTCCACACAGTCAGTCCACCGTAGGCCACTCTGACTCAGCAATCTAGCCTCACTTCCCCTGTTTTTCACAATCCTGTGTTTCTACCACAGCAGGCAACTGGGGCTCGGTCCCTCTGTGAGCCCACCAAGGAACTATCCCACGGGAGATCAAGGGAGTCAGGGGACTTTATCCTCAGACTCCCTTTCCTCAATGATCTTCTGTGCAAATGAGTGCGTATGGATCAAACATGCTGCTATTAGGATCATGTTTATCATCTCACCAAAACCCTACAACTCTGCGGACAGTTGGCCCTATTTTACAGATTAAAAATCTGAAATGCAGAAAGATTAAGCCACTTGCTGAAAATTAAACAGTTAATAAGCAGCTGAGCTGGACTCCAAATCCAGCCTCGTCTCTTCCATTCTATGATGCAATGTCGGAAAAGCCACAGCACATCCATTCCCCAGCACGGTCGGCACTCGTGGGCTTGCACAGCCAGAGAGATGCTTGCATGCTTCCAGCCTCTCCTCCCAAGGAAAACATATTAAGATAGCTGCCCAGATTGTTTTAATCTTCTTGCATGCATAGGAAAACCTTCTAGGTCATAATCCACCAGCCATGTGAAATTTTTATAGCATCATCATCCATGGCTACTCCCACCTCAAATACCAGTTACTATGAAATTATGCCAGAATTTGGATCAAAGTATGGGGGAAAATGCAAGGCAAATTTTTATCTGATGAACTCATGGCAGAGAATCAAATTTCATAGAGAGTTCCAGACTCTAGTATATTAAAAAACAATCTGTAACTTTACTGTGAGGAGACTACTTTATTAGAACAACTAAAACATGCTGAGCTCTGCTGGGACACAGGGGTCATGCTAATGCGTGAGCCAAAGAGAGTCTTTTCTTGCTTTAGTAGAAAATATAATAATCTGCAAATCACTAGCATCTGAGGCTGGCTTGATTTAAAATGCACACAGATACAGAAAAAGTTCCAGGAAATCACTGTATTTATAGCTTGCCTACATTAGTCAGCGGAACGGCCCTCGCTGCTCCCAAAATAACACTTGGGAAGGCGCTGCATCCTAGCACCTTCACTAAAGCCAAGGCATGGTTCTCATCTGCTGCTCTGTAAGTTCCCTAGGAGGACCTCTCCCCCTTCCCAGGGAGCCAGGCAAGCAGACAGGGCCCTCCAACCTCCCTCACCACCCGCCCAGCTGTACAGTGGCTGCCTCAAGGAAGTCCCAGCCCCAGAAGGCCCCCAGCAGGCTACCTAGAGGAGCCCTGGCCTTAATCCCCTCCACCAACCAGCTAACCATCAGTCAGATTTAGAAAGCAGAGCCCCCTTAGCATTAAACCCTCCAGGACACAGGATCTTCACCACACGGGTAAGACACAGGAGAAGATTCTGGCCGGGTGTTGATCACCAAGATCTTTCACAAAAGAACCGCGTAAGCGTTGGGGAAGTAACAGACAGTAATCCCATATATAAATTACCACAATGCAGCAGAGAACAAGACCCCAGCCATGCACACTCAGTGGGCTATGTGGGGTTAAAGTATTTTAATCCTCTTGGTACAGAATTTCTTAATTCCTGGTCCATAGCAAGTGTGGGCAAGGCTCCAGACACATGGGAGATCTATCTGCCTAGAACTGCTTTCCCTCCCAGGAATACCATAGCAACTCGAAGACCTTCCCAGGATGGGAAACGGCCAGGTCTGCTCGTCCCGTGAACTCACAAAGGCCTCTGTGGCAGACACACATCCACGGACTCCCACAGTTAAAGGAAAGACTGGGGTGCAGAGGGGCACTTCACCTGGCACACTGGGCTGGAAGACTTTATTCAGATCCAAGGAGGAGGCTCTGGAGTGGGTTTTCTGTGGCCGCGGTGGTGGGGTGGGAGGGTCCTCGCCCCTTTTCATGGCCTCTTCTATGGAGGTGCTAGAGTAAGATCTGCAGCAAAATAAGGAGAGGTCGGAAGGGAGACAGCAAAGCTTTAGTCTCTGAAGTAGGGTTGGAATGGAAACACCCACTACAAAGGACTGACCAGTTCCCATCTCGAAGCAACAATGAATTCTACTGTCCCTTGGGTGCCAGTATCTGCAGTAACTGCCCACACCCAACCCGTGAATCAGAAACTTTTTAACCTCTTTGTTCATATTATATCTTAGACCTAAATTTACCCAAAGGAAAAGCTAAATTCAAACCAGTTTCTACTGGTACTGTTAATAAGAATAACATGTAAACCTTCTGCTTAGGTACTTCCATATTGTAACAGAAGGGCTTCATGGGTTAACAGACTGCAGAAGTTTCCTCCTGTTTACATGCAAACGTGATGACAGGCACATATGGAAGTGGGACAGATAACCTGAGAGTAAGTATCCGATGCTCAGGGGAATATGCCACAAGTGAAATTCAGGAAAGGAAAACACACATCAGTCAGATGGAGGGGTCGAGGCTGTCTCAGCATGAGAAAGACCACTTTGGGGGTCAAATTTTCAAAGCAAAAGCATCCTCTTAACCTTCTCCCTCCCTCGGTAACAAGTCAGTAGCTAACTAACTAGGCAACTTCTGAGACTGTAACTCCAATAATGACATTTAAAGAAATAGGAAATAAATAACTTCCAAAGGTCACATAGCTAGAAAGTTACATAGGTTCGATTCAAACTCCCAATCTCTTTCTAAATTCCATTTTTAAAATATTCTGATACTGCCTATGAGCCAGGAAAGAAATCTTTTGGTAGTAGCGGCTAAACTACTTAGAGACGTAATTATTTTCTAAATTAATTCAACTCAGTCTATTGCTTAGAAATAGCTTTGTGGATGAGTTCCCAATATGATTTTCTAAAAAGCGGATGTGTATATCCGTTCTGCTCAGCTTCTCGGCTAAGTTCATGTCAAAGAAGAAAATGACCTTTGAGTCAGAGATAGGTTCTAGGGACAAATTAACCTCAGGAAACTGCTATCAGTATTTAGCTATTAGAGAGGCATTTATAAAATCAGAATCTATCTATTACTATTAAGCAATTTCAATTCTTGGTAAAGCTGGTTTGGGCATAGCAAGATTTTACCTTCCTGAATCATTCCCTCAAGGGTTTCCTTGTGGTGGCTGAAGAGTTTTGTTTGTCAAGCAAGATTGCAATCTTTAATAAAGTCACCATAATGGCATGTGACGTGCTCTGGGGTGGTCCCTGTAAAATAAGTGGCATGACGGGCAAGGCAAAGGCATGTAGGAACCAGCACGAAGAACGCTCTAGTACTTTCAACCAGAGTCAGAGGAAATTGATAAGAAAGAACATTTTCAAATGGGAACACTTGATTTGAAAAGGAAATGGGAGACTCCTGCTAGAAATTAAAAGAACTTTCAAGCATTTGACTTCGGCTCAGGTCATGATCTCACAGTTCTTGAGTTCAAGCCCCACATCAGGCTCTGTGCAGACAGCTTAGAGCCTGGAGCCTGCTTCAGTTTTTGTGTCTCCCTCTCTCTCTGCCCCACCCCTGCTCATACTCTGTGTCTCTCAAAAAATGAATAAATGTTAAAAAAAAATAAAAAGATTTAGGGGCGCCTGGATGGCTCAGTCGATTGGGCGACTGACTTCACTCAGGTCGTTATCTCACAGATTGTGAGTTCAAGCCCCATGTCGGGCTCTGTGCTAACAGCTCAGAGCCTGGAGTCTGCATCATATTCTGTGTCTCCCTCTCTCTCTGCCCCTCTCCCGCTCACATTCTGTCTTTCTCCTTCAAAAATAAACATTAAAAAAAAATTAAAGAAAAATAAAGAACTTTCTATGCCAGACAGAGCTTTAGTGACATTTTTCAGTCAAGAAAGAAAAAATAATATGTGTGCGTGTGTACACTAACACATATATATAGTTAGGCACACCATCCCATCCCACATACCTCATTCCATTTTATTCCCATATGTAACCTGTATACTTGTATTTCCATATGGAAAGTTAACTGAGTATCAAATAAGTGATACTGGAAAACTAGGACCACAACCAATTTCAATATAAATGTGCAGGGAATCAACACAATAATGAATATAAGTAATGTCAGAATGGGGATTTTCCCTCTTCCCCTCACATTTCTACAAAGTTTTATTATTCTAAAAAGGAAAATAAAAATAATTTGACTCTCTCGGTCTCAGTAAAGACCCAGTGGGTTGTAGTGAAAATAAAAAGGTCCAAATTAGACCAGGAGACCAATCCTTAAAAGAACATATAAAATTTGGCCATAGAGGGGTGCCTGGGTGGCTCAGTCGGTTGAGCATCCGACTTCGGCTCAGGTCATGATCTCGCAGTTGGTGGGTTCAATCCCAGTGTCGGGCTCTGTGCTGACAGCTCAGAGCCTGGAGCCTGCTTCCGATTCTGTGTCTCCCTCTCTCTCTCTGCCCTCCCCCACTCACTCTGTCTCTCTCTCTCTCTCTCAAAAATAGATAAACATTAAAAAATAAAATAAAATAAATAAAATTTGGCAGAGATATTAATAATAGAATATGTGACTATGAAGTTTTGTACTTTCACTCGCTTTGAGAAAAAGAGGAAGTCAACAGAAGAAAAATGTGAGGCTCAAATTATAGTTAATATAGCACACCTAAGCAGCTTCCTGCAAGTCAAAGGTTTTTCCTACTATGAGGTCAGATAAATGTTACTATTCCTACATCCTAAAGTCAGTACGGACTAATTTGCAAAAGAGCCATTCATCCTTAAAAAAACAACAACAACAACAAAGGATGAGTAAATGTGGCAGCCATAGAGAAAAACGGTGACTGTATCTTTTCTTCTGGCCAAAAAGAATTCCTGTATCTATTGTTTCAAAAAACATGACTATAGGTATCTGTACCTTCTATAAACAAGAAAACAAATCCCCAATATAGAAAATCCAGGTATACAAATTAGACTAAGGGGTAACTCTCAGATTTACACAAAGAGGAGATTTCCTTAAATGTCGGTATTTCAAGCATATAAAGTATCAGACTTAATTTCACTTTTTCAGGGACGTGTCTAAGTAGCCAAAGGAAGAAAAAAGTCACTAAGAGCCAAAGCAAACATTGGAAGCCACAAACGTACTGTCCTATCTTCCACTGTATTCCTACCACTGAAAAGTGCTCCCAATACCATCTCCCCTCTCTGATGTTCTATTCATGTTCATGTATTTCTCCTCCATCTGCCATTCTGATGTCCAATGCCAACCACAACTCTGCCTTCCTGGCTCTCCCTCTTCTACCAATCTAAAAACTGTGACTCCAAAAAGAGGCTCTAAGATAGGATAAAACAGACCATAAGCACCGCTTACCCAAAGCTTCAAGCCTCATTTTAAAATGACTGTGAGCATTTGTTTTTCCTACTCTAGATTTTATCCCTCAGGTGTCTGTTTGGTGTCGACCTTGTCACGACAGTAAATTTCAGGGTTAGTCACCTCCTAACCACTTTTCCTTCTCTGCAAAGCCACTGCCCTCTATTCCTTATCATCCTGCAACAAGGGGGCCACGGCACACAAGCCACTTCTTGTCAGTCGACCAGCCAGCAGCAGCCACCACCTTCTACCACTAAGAGACACAGAAATTAAGAGTCTCCCAGCAGCACTGCAAGCTCCGATCAGGCCCCTCGTGACAAAGGAACTCACCCATTGTCTAAGCTGCCAATCTAAAGGAAAAGGAGATCGTGGGTTGGGCTTTGGGTTGTGGGACTTTATTTCTAGTCAAAGAAAGGGTACGAAGGGCATTAAAGCAGAAATTAAACAAACACTACCTGGATCTTGGTCTTGCTTTGAGGCTGTTGGAATCCTTAGAAGTGGCTGAAACAAAGACCGGTTGTTGTTTACTTGGCTTTCATTTCTGCGGTTGAACAGGTTTATAAGCAATACCCGGGCTAGTAGAGAACATATATCTCAACAGGTAAATATGAGGTGCAGGCATCCCTGTGGAGAACTTAACCGCCTCCACATCTTCATTATTTTCTCATTTCATTTCTAAAGCTAAAGGCACAGTTCAAAGGAAAGAAAATCCAACATTTTTCTTCCTTCTGTCAGAGCACTAAGGAGCTATTCTCAAATCTACGCTGATGAATAAATTCCAAACTAAAAAGACAACCCTCTCATGGGGTTATCTACTTATATGAGGGGTTCTGACGTGTGGTTTCCTTGGTCTATCATGATAGCTTAGTAACTGATTTTGAACCAGGCTCCCCTGAAGGCTAGGAAGAACTCTATCAGGTTACATATCTTAAGAATTTCTTAAGATACACTACCAGAGTAGCATGACCACAAGAAATCAAAGCTCCCACAAGCTAAGTTGAAATGAGCAACACAGCTTTTCCTACAAGAAAATATTCTTGTGTCCTATGTCCCTGTGACCAAATCACACAGACGATAGTACGGAATGAAATCATTAAGATATTTTACCAACCATATGAGACTTTTCCTTATCAAATTTAAATCATTAACAACTTGCTCACTATCAACACCCATGGACCCTAACTTTCCCATCACAAGTTGTTGGGAATAATTAGAAACATTTACAAAAACATTGATCCTTTTTTATATTTTCAGTACCCTACGGAAGACAACTTTAGAAACCACCAGTTATGCTAAGGTTTTGCAAACACTGCAAATCTTTCATCATAAAATCTCATAAAAATTCATAGAAAAAGTGCTACTACCTAGGAACAAGGAGAATATCATTTGTGTATTGTTTGCAGAAGTTCTTCCAGAGAGAAAATGTCTCAATGCATCATCCCACCTTTTTTTACATTGCTCTAAAGATAAAAACCCTCCTTGGTATGAAGGAGCCTAGATTTATGATGGTCGTTAAAATCTATGAGTTAGATAAGCAGGAGAGAAAGAGGAGTTAAAAATGTTAACAAGGCACAAAGCAAAGAAGCAATATGTATTCCCTTAGATATGGTCAGCTGTAGAAAAGACACATTTCTCTCTAAACAAGCATTGTGGCTTGTTGTAGCGAGAACACAGTCATGTTTCAACTTCAACCGATCAAAATGCTCTCGGAGCTCTGGAAAGCACTGGACGCCCGAGGAGTATGAGCCCTGTCTTGCCCATTATCACGCACCCCCACCCACAGGTACATGGAAAACTACCTCTTCCCACCCCACAAACTCCAGGCAGCAGAGGAAAGCGGCCTAAGGGGAGCTGCTCCTGCAGCCAAGCAGGCCGCCTTGGGGCTGAGTGGACAGCGCGACCGGACTCACCACAAATCCGGGGGCCGTCCTCCGGGCAGGCTGCCCACAGCTGGCTCTGACCCCTCTTCTCCCTCAGGCTACACTACTTTCCAGAAATAGTGTGGGCCCGGGGACACCTGGGCAGCTCAGTCGCTTAAGCATCTGACTCCTGATTTAACCCTAGGTCATGATCAAGCCCTGCTGTCAGTGCAGAGCCTGCTCGGGATTCTCTCTCTCCCTCTCTCTCTCTTCCCCTCATCTGCTAGCTCTCTCTCTCAAAAATAAACAAATAAACATTAAAAAAAGAGAAATATGTGGGTTGGGAAAGTCTTAGTCATTTTAAAATAAAAGTCTGGTTCCCCAAACCAGACTGTTAGTGACCGTTAAATTCCTTTGTCAAGTGCCATTATCTCTTTCTCCTAGGTAAGAATGGGTGTGGAAGAGTGAACCCTGCTGGTGAGAGATAGACACACAGACAGATGGGGTGAGGGGTATGGATAAGCAGTGGGGACGAGGACAGGAGTCCTAAGGCCTACGTGTTCCTCCTGGACGCAATACCAACTGTTGCGTCTCTGAACCTCAGTCTCCTCACCTACAGAATGAAGAAAATAAAAATGTAGCCCCTTTCTCCTGGGGAGAGAGAAGTCAAAGGTACTTGGAAAACAATCTATTTTTGAACTGTAAAATATTACTGTTGTAGACTGCTAATTTTTCAAGCTGAGAAATCTGGATTCTAAATGTAGTTCCCTCTAGGACAGCAAAGGAGGTGCAGGTGGGAACAGGTAATGAAAGGAGAAAATTGCTCTACCCCATAAGGCCATGGGGTGAGAGCTAGTAAACGGGGAAGCTGCTAGAATCACTAACAGCTGTCTGAAGACTACAGTGTGGGGACAAACAGGCCTAATCCGCTCAGCATAGCCTAGAGACATCAAGAAAAAGATCACCATTGTGCAGCTTGCTCCGAGGAATGAGGCTGCAGTATGTTAGCTAAGAAATCTACTTTCAGCAATGAAAAGGATAAGGGCATATTAAAAAACCACATGACAAGGAATACCCCCCCTTCCCTGACAGCAGTCCTACCACAACATCCTCCTCCTCACCATTACTATTATCATTATTATCAACACTACCAGCCACTGTGGAAGAACAGGGCAGGGAGAGACTTCTCCTGCCACCTGCAACAATATACCACAGGCAGGGCTTGGTGAGTCCCCACAGGTTTCAGATCACAAAAAGCTGGAGAACACTATTCCGGTTCAGTCGTCCATCAGCTTCCAAGCTCCTGAAAGTCAGACTGAGCATTTGGGGCATGTGAGCATCTGCAAAAATGGCAAGGTCATGTTGTACTGGAATCCAGGCCAAAGCCAGCAGGTAGGTCATAGCTTCTCATTTAGCTAGGAAGAGGGAAGAAGGACAACTTCCCAGAACATTGCAGGCATGTCATCGTTCCAGAAGATTGCAAGAGGATAAAAAGGCAAGCCTAAAGTTTAATTCTCTAAAAAGCAGCAACTCAACTGAGATGAACTGCCCGTGTGGCATGGACAACCACCACCTTGAAATTCTACAGCGTCTCGCACTGGAAATTCAAACATTCCCCAGGAAAGGGGGTATTAAATACGTTTCAGATGAGGGATTCCCTCATATCCACTCCAGATAGGGCAGCAGTGGGAAAAATGAATCAGAAACCACATAGCATGTTCCTAGGCAGAATGTGAAACAAATTCAGATGTACTTCACGCACTGTCGCACACCCTGATAGGATTTGTCTGGTGACTCCGTGCCCCATTCAATAAAGAAATCTTAAAAATGACATCTACAGCTCAGGCTCCAGAGAACACACGATGCTCATGGAAAAAATAGGAAGTTATGAGCCTCAAAGACGGTTGGAAAAGCACCAATTTAACTCTCCAAAATCAAATAGCTTTTATTAATACTGTCAACACGAAGTTTACAAAACCTGAGGTACATCCACTCTGGCTCCAGAAATTAAAGCTGGAAAGAACCTACCTCATGCATTTGTCCTAAAATGGGTTTAGAGGGCAAGCGTAAAGTTTAATTCTCTAACAGGCCAGCCATCCATTTGTCTTTACACAAACTGAGCATTTCTCTTTCTGATGAAAGAACCCAAATCAGTTTCAAAAGCCCAAACTAGGCTTGAGAATTCCTACCACTTTGGGAGTCATGGTTGATCTATAAACTCAGTTTTCTATTTCTTTTTTTTTTTTTTTTTGATGTTTTATTTTATTTTTGAGAGAGAGACAGAATGTGAGTGGGAGGGGGGGCAGAGAGCAAGGGAGACACAGAATCCGGAGCAGGCTCCAGGCTCTGAGCTGTCAGCACAGAGCCCGATGCGGGGCTTGAACCCACAAACCGTGAGATCATGACGTGAGCCAAAGTCAGATGCTTAACTGACTCAGCCACCCAGGCGCCCCAACAATTTTCTATTTCTTAATATCATCTTCTAGAGGCAAAGGTTCCAAAAATAGGCTACACACCGGAACTGCCTGGCAGACAATCTAAAAACACAGATTCTTAGACCTCTTCACTAAAATCAATCATATATTCTCATTTGTATTCATTCTCACTCTCTCCCCTCCTCCTCCTCTCTCCCCCTACTCCCTTCTCTCCCTCCATCCCTCTTTTTATTAATTTGTTAAATATTTATTATTTTTGAGAGAGAGACAGAGTACGAGTGGGGGAGAGGCAGAGAGAGAGGGAGACAAAGAATCCGAAGCAGGCTCCAGGCTCTGAGCTGTCAACACAAAGCCCAATGTGGGGCTCAAACTCACAAACTGTGAGATCATGACCTGAGCTGAAGTTGGACACCCAACCAACTGAGCCACCCAGGCGCCCCTATCCCTCTCTCTTTTAAACCTCAAATGAACTTGGTGTCTGGGGAAAACTGTACTATAGCATAAGCCTCAATGTTCTATCGACTCCTTTGTTCCAACCTTAAACAAATAAGCTTGGGATGATAGCTAACTAACCCAAACAAACATGATTTACTTATTAAATATTATGAGAGAGAACAATAAGAATGCAGCAACCTCTTTCATGTCCTCGTAACCGGAGCTCCAAATAGTAACGCCCTCCCTAGCCAGTTTGTTTTTAACTAGGTTCATCTTAGTTCAGTGATGGCTCCCATCAAGAGAGCTGAGGACACAGGCCTGGCCATCTCCCTGGTTCACGGACACAGTGCTGACTCTCCAAGAACATGGGCAAACACACCTTTTCTTTTTCTCCTTGGAATCTCCTCCCTGTAGAAGCACATTTACTTACTTGCCTTTCTGGTGGTGAATTTTCATGAAAACATTGGAGATTTCTGCTTTGGAAATGGAGAAGTTCAACTGTGGGCCTCCACTTGATCTACCCCATTAGCTCCTTACTCCACAGAAACCACAATGGCTTACTGAAATCTTCTCAACTCCAAGTCTTTACAATTTTACAGTAAAAGTAACAATGAGACTCTAACTTCAAACTGAGTGCTCCTATTGGTGAAACCTAAATTCAGAACTTAAAAATAAAAAACCACCCTCTTTTCAGGTATAAAAAGCAACCAAAGGTTTCATTACAATAAAACCCAAGGCAAATATTTAGACAGAAACATACACAACCATCAATTTTCTACTCACTGACACTGTTAGGTTTTTTAAATTAGAAAATAATTACACAAAAATGTATTAAAAGTGTTTTCTCCTACCTGGATCCTCAGACACGTCCTTTGGTAAGGCTTCATCCGCAGTACTTTTCAAACCTAGACGTGTTTTGTTTTTAAGGAACAAGAGAAAGGAGGAGAAAACAAAACTGTAAAATTTTATTTCTTAGGCACATTATATTAAAGCAAAGAATCCCTAGTCATCACTTATGAAAATGGTGTAACAAACCTCTGTAAGTTGCTACAGCACCCAAACAATAGAGACCCCTTGAAGTAGGGAAATAGGTTCTCATCCCACAAAGAACATAGCCGAATTACCAACTTTCAACCGAGTGCGCCTCTAGTGGCTAGGAGGAGTATTACCAGGAAGTGCCAGAAATCTCCTCCTTTCATTCTTGACATCCAGACCAATGACATCAGAATCTCTCCGGGAGTGAGATGCGGGCTTTAGTGCTTTCAGACCCGTCATTCCAACGCACAATCAAGGCTAAGACCCGCTAGGAAAGAACGTGATCAGAGTACACACTGCTGCAAAAAAATGTCTAGTTCTGCCTGCCTCTCCTGAGCAAAGATTTAAATAGAGAGCAAGCGATCATTGCTTCCTAATGGAAAACTTACTTTTCATGTTTAACTCCTGTACAAGGTTGCATTGGTGGCAGGTCTCGACAACAAAACTTGAAATAGCTTCACTGATTTTTAGTCCCTTCTGATAAGCCTCTCATTCATGGGTAGTAAAATCAGTATCAGCTAATAAAAGGAATACTAGCCTGAGACTCAAAAAATCTTTATTCTTACCTCCACTCTTTTTATTATTAAGCATATGACTCCTACTGCCTGAATTTCAGTTTACTCATCTCTAAATTTTAGGTGATAAAACATACTAGCCTCTGTTCGGCTTTGTGAGAACTGAGTAAGGCAGTAAATGAGGAAGGACCTGGTAGATTATAAAGCATTATATGCAGTGGTGGGAGTGGGGAGAGGTCCTCCTGTTCTAAATATTCCCAGGCCAACTCATCTCTGTGCTTAACGGTAGCGCTAACATGGAAAACTGAGCCGCGCTGCTTCTCACTCGCCCGGTAAGACAGACAAATTACCGCTGGCTTCCCGACACAGCTTCACATCCACAAAGTAACAGAAGATAAATCCAAAGGACAGAAGCTCTCTCCAGAAAGATAACTTCCTCAAGGATTAGACCTGTATACAAATGTGCATTTGTACTGATGTTCTGGGATCACCTCTGCCAACCCAAGATGTTACGCTCTCAATTCTTTCAGCTTCCAGTCATTTCCTAATCAGTATGACCAAATTCCAAGTAAAGGGTCAGGACAGGCGAGTAAGGGGCCAATGAGTTGAGGGGCTTTGGAAGTTCCTGTTACCACATGCTCCCGAAGTCAGCCATTCCAAGAGAAGTGGATGAAGAAACACAGGTAGAATGTCCCTGAAGGAAGAAAACTCATTCTTTTCATACCTTGTTTGTCATCACTAGTCACATCTTGAGTTGGGACAGGAAAGTCAGCCATGTCTTTAACAGATAGCTTCTTGGAAAAGAAAAGAAAATACGTTATACAAGTTGAAATGGAAATTACATTATGTGTACACATGATGAAATTGCTTTAAAAGCTACATATCTTGCCAATATTTTGGCTTCAGTAAACCCTGACATTTAATACTTTTTTATTTTGGGGGGTTCCTAGGGAGGTATAAGTTAATTTGTATTGAAGGTTTACATGTGGGGCGCCTGGATGGCTCAGTCAGTAGAGCCCATGACTCTTGATCTCAGGGTTTTGAGTTTGAGCCCCACCCTGGGTGAAGAGATTTTTTTTTTAATTTTTTAAAGAAATTTACATGTGCAGAGGAAAAAAATTATTCAGATTTAGGCAGATGTATAGACTGCACATTAAATCTGAACCCGGTTTGGGATTCAGCCAGAGAACTGTGTAGCATTTGCCCATTCTGTCCAAAAACAAACCTGCACTTTCTGTACTATTTCACAAGCAGAGTTCTGACAAGTAGCCCTATAATGTGGGTATCTGCCAAAATCTGTTATGCAGAGAGTGTTCAATAGCCTGATTCAAACAGCCTCCTTGTCAAGGAATAAGGTAATTTTATTGATGACCAGAACAAAATTTTCTCCTAACTCACTTAGGGGAAGTCTTCAGTAATACTAATGAGATAGAATACCCAAATTGATCAAGTACTGATTCCTTTAAATTTTTGTTTAAAATCTACTTGCTGTGAATTTATTTCTTACAAAGTCTAAATATGCACTCTGTGACCTTAGATAAGATTACAGAATAATATTTATTAGTATTTACTATATATAAACAAATTCTGGAAAGATACATAAAAATCGAAGGGTGACTCAGTAGATGGGGAACAGAATGGGAGGAAGACGTGTCACTATCTGCCTTTTGATATTCTTTTTATTTTAAACATATTCAGAAAAATCAAATAAAACTTATAGGAAGCAGAGTAAATCTTGGAGCAATCTGGTGCTCCAGAAGGTTCACTGGTTTGCCTTTCAGAATCTGAACAACCCCAGTGAGATAAGCAATACTTGTGTTTTTCAACTGTTTTAAAGAATGCAGTTCAGTGCTGCTTGGCGGTAACCTGATCCAGGATTTAACAATCCTCAGGCAGGTCATTCTTGGCATTACCATGAAGCCTCCAGATAGAATTTCCTATTCAAAGTCTACTGTCTCCAACAGAACAGAGAATGTATCTTAACAGTGCCTTTCTTTCTTCTCCCACCTGGATTATAAGCTAGATACCTAGGTAGAAGAAAATGATTTAGGAGTAGAACATATAAAAAGTTCTCCAAAACAACCACCTTTGAAAGAAATTTTTAAAGCCTAAAGAAGTGGAAAGACATCCCATGCTCACAGGTCAGAAGACTCGATATTGTTAAGATGGCAATACTCCCCAAATTCATCTACAGATTCAGTGCAATCCTTCTTCGCTTTTTTGCAGAATTTGAACAGCTTGTCCTAAATTTCATACAGAAATGCAAGGGACCCAAAAGAGCAAAAATATTCTTTAAAAGGAAGAACAACAAAAGAAGAAAACTGAAAGACTGAGACTTCTCAATTTCCAAACTTAACACAAAGTTACAGTCATCAAGACAGTGTGGTACTAGCATTACGACATCCATGTAGATCAATGGAACAGAACTGAGAATCCATAAATAAACCCTCACATTTGTCAACTGATTTTCAACAAAGGTACAAAACAATTGGGGGCAGGGGAGTTGTCTTTTTAATAAGTGATGCGAAAAGAATATACAAAAGAATGAAGGTGGACCTCTTCCTCACGGCATATGCAATAATGAACTCGGACTGGATCACGAACCTGAATGTGAGACCTATAACTATACAACTCCTGGAAGGCCACATATAGGACTAAGTCTTTGTGAGCTTCTGCTAGGCAGTGGTTTCTTAGCTAGGACACCAAAAGCACAAGCAACAAAAGAAAAAAACAAACAAACTGGACCTCATTAAAATAAAAAACACTTGTGTTGCAGAGGACACTCTCAAGAAAGGAAAAAAAAACAAAGAAATACTACCTCACACCTGTCAGAATAGCTAACATTAACAACTCAGGAAAACAACTGATGTTGGCGAGGACGCAGAAAAAGGCAAACCCTTTTGCACTGCTGGTGGGAAGACACACGGGTAGGTGTAACCACTCTGGAAAACAGGATGAAAGTTCCTCAAAAAATTATAAATAGAACTACCCTACCACCCATCAATTGCACTACTAAGCATTTATCCACAGGATACAAAAATGCTGATTCGAAGGGGCACATGCACCCTAATGTTTAAAGCAGCGCTTTCAACAGCCAAAGTATGGAAAGAGCCCAAATGTCCATTGACAGATGAATGGATAAAGAAGATGTGGTTTATATATACAATGGAATACTACTCAGCAATGAAAAAGAATGAAATCTTGCCATTTGCAACAACGTGGATGGAACTAGAGGGTATTATGCTAAGTGAAATAAGTCAGGCAGAGAAAAACAAGTATCATAGGACTTCACTCATCTGTGGAATTTGAGAAACAAAATAGATGACCATAGGGGAAGGGAAGGAAAAATAAGATAAAAACAGAGAGGGAGGCAAACCATAAAAGACTCTAAAATACAGAGAACAAACTAAAGGTTGCTGGAGGGGTGGGGGTGTGTTAAATGAATGAAGGCACTGTTGGGATGAGAGCACTGGGTGTCGTAGGTAAGAGATGAATCACTGGGTTCTACTCCTGTAACCAATACTACACTATATGTTAACTAACTTGAATTTAAAAAAAAAAAGAAAGAAAGAACAACCAAAGACAGAAAATACTTGCCAATTATGTATCTAATAAGGGACCTACATTCAGAATGTACAAACACAACTCAATAATAACCAAATTTATAAACGGACAAAGGATCTGAATAGACATTTCACCAAGGAAGATATACAAATAACTAATAAGCACAAGAAAAGATGCTCAGCATCAGTAGTCATCAGGAAATTTAAATCAAAAGCACGAAAAATCAATACCACTTCACTCCCACTAAGGTGGCAAACATAAAAAAGGCAATAAAAAGCGTTAGCAGGGACATAGAGCAATAGGACGCCTCACACATTACTGGTAGATGAATGTAAAATGCCGTAGGTGCTTGGGAAAGCATTTTGGCAGTATCTCAAAAAGTTGAACACAAGTTACAATAGGACACACAGTTCCACTCCTAGGTAAGCACCCAAGGGAACTCCAAACATCACATTCACACAAAAATCGGTCCATGAATGTTCACAGTAGCATTTTTTCCTCACAGCCCCAAGGTGGAAACAAGCCAAACGTCCATGAGCTGAAGAATGGACAAACGTGGCAGATCCACACGATGGACTACTACTCAGCAATGAAAAGGAATGAAGCGCTGATACATGCTACGACATGAACTTTAAAGCATACTACAGGAGGGGCGCCTGGGTGGCTCGGTCGGTTAAGCGTCCGACTTTGGTTCAGGTCATGATCTCACGGTCTGTGAGTTGGAGCCCCGCGTCGGGCTCTGTGCTGATAGCTCAGAGCCTGGAGCCTGTTTCGGATTCTGTGTCTCCCTCTCTCTCTGCTCCTCCCCTGTTCATGCTCTGTCTCTCTCTGTCTCAAAAATAAATAAAAAAAACTTAAAAAAAATAATAAAAAAATAAAACATACTACAGGAAAGAAGGCAGTTCCAGAAAAAACAGATATTGTATGACTCTATATGAAATGTCCACAACAGGCAAACTCAGAGACAGAAAAGAGATTACTCATTACTAAAGGCTGGGGGGAGGAGGGAATAGTGAGTGACTGCTAATGACTATGGGCTTTCTTTTCTGAGGTGATGAAAAATGTTCTAAAATTAGACTGTACTGATGGCTGCACAACTCTGTTAATACAGTAAAAACCATCGGATTGTACAGTTTAGATAAGTATATTATGTGAATTGTATTTTAGTAAAGCTGCTTAGAAGAGAAAAATCCAGTAATCTAAGAAGCACTGCTATGGGGTGCCTGGGTGGCTCAGTCGATTAAGCGTCCAACTTTCACTCAGGTCATCATCTTGCAGTCCATGGGTTCGAAGCCCACGTCGGGCTCCGTGCTGACAGTCTGGAGGCTGCTTGAGATTCTGCCTCTCCCTCTCTCTCTCTCTGCCCCTCCCCCTCACACTTTTTCTCTCTCTCAAAAATAAAAAAAATTAATAATAATAATAAAATAAAACTTTAAGAAGCATGCTAAGGAGGACTTTATCTGAAATTTATCTTTAATTCCTGAAGGAAACGAGTACATGGTTACAGCTCTGCTGTCTGGAGATCTGATCTGTACTACTGAGCAAACTTCTCACGACCCGAATCAGTTACAGCTTTCTCCATGGCACCAACACCTGTATGGACCCATTCCTCACAGGGCTAGTCCCAAGAGCTATTTAAATCCCACGCATGCATTCATGAGAGATTAAAAAAAACTGGTAGAAAGAACAATGAATGAAATAGAAGAAATTGGAATATTTAATCATTAGCTACTTATATTTGACGTATACTTCTTGAATGGCCAAAGCATCCATTAACCTCATTACTTTGGCCATGAATTCTGTATATTACATCATTATCTAAAAGCACTCCACTCTGGAATATAACGATTTTGTTGGGAAAGAGTTTTTGTTGTTGTTTTGCTCTCGTTTGGACAGAGCAAAGCAAAGACTTTTTAATCACCCCCACCCCCACCAAAAGAGCCAGTTAAAGTATAGAAAAGTATGTAACATAAAACTAGCTGCACATCACGTCCATAAAGTTGAACATCAAAAATGTCATCAAGGACATCAGAGTGTGTGTTTGAAAGCATCTGCATTTATAGACTTCACAGCTAACTGTATATTTGCTCCTTTCCTTTTAGAAAGATGATAAATGACTACGTGGGGGAAAGCAACGCGAGCCAGTAATTAATTTCTCTAAAACACAGCATTATTTCTGTTGGAAGGGCAGAGACCACCTGAGTGCATTCTAGAAATAATAAGAGCTTAT